TATATATATATATATATATATATATATAATATAAATATATAAAATATATATATGTATATTATTTATTTATATATTTATATATTTATTCAGTTTTTAATAGCTATATCTAAATATCTTTATAAGATCACAATAAATTTTTTTTTAATATAATAATTATTTTTGCAAATAAAAAGCGTATATTGGCAAAGAGCATATATATTGGATATATATTGGATTTTTGTATTTACAAATTTTAATTTTTATTTATGTATGAAAAAATATATTGTAATAATGTTATTAACTTAATAAAATAAATGTATAAAGTGTAAAAATAATCGACAATGGCATCGCGTCTCGCATAATTAATTCGTGTCATGTCATGAGACGCCAGCTTCAAATCAGCGGTACAGCGTTTCTCGAGAAAGAAGAAGACAGCAGTTGTCGGTACTCCTTCTCTACCGCTCGAAGCTGGTCGAAGCGCGGAGCATACACGGATGAGCGCTTGCGCTAGTGTGTGTGCCAGCCTATCTCCTCTACGTGCTGCAGCGTGGCTGCAATCATACATGAAATGGCATCCCTGGCGAGCACACGTTCACGGGCTGCTCGCTTGTGTGGCATGCTGCAACTTCTCGAATTTGGCAACTCTGTATGCGCTATGAATGCCTTCAAAAGTTTTTTTAAAGCCGCAATGCAGATTATCGTGGTAAATACGGATTTATCATTGTTTCAGGAATAGCGAATGGGGGCGATCTGTTCCTTTTCTATATACAAGATAGTATTATAAATTGGCTTTATTTATTACGTGAACTACGCATTACAATCGGTAACAACGTTGAATTCGATATAGATATATATGAAAGCATTCAACGACACGAACAATAGCTAGCATCTCAAGCTCAAAAGAATGATAATTTATTTCCGCTCTGTTTACAGACTGATTAAAATAGGCTATGGGAGCCCAACGATTATCTGTTTGTTTCTGCAGGATTGCACCGAGACCACAGGTACTGGCATCAGTGTGCAACTCGGTTGCGGCCTTTGGATTGTAAATGCGAAGCACTGGATATGAGGTTTTCTTTTAAGTTGATTAAAAGCTTCGATACATTCATCATTGAAATTAAATTCGACTGTTTTCTTTAACAGATTTTGCAGTGATTTGGCTATCGTGTAATCCTGAATAAATTTCCGGAAGTAATTAGTAAGTTCTAAAATCTTTGAATATCTTGTAGCGTTTTTGATTGTGGAAAATCACGAATCGATTGCGTGTGTCGCGGACTCATGGAAATCTCGTTTTCTCTTATTATATAACCTAAATATTCTAATTCGCGGCGTATGAAAAGACATTTACTATAATTTAACTGAAATTCATAACTCTTTAGAATTATTAACATTTCTCTTAAGATTTTCAGAATCAAATCAATGGAATCGGACGGTATTAGAATATCGTCTATATACACTAGGATCTTGTCCTCCCTAATCAATGGTTGCAAAATTTGCACTATTCTTTTTTGGAATTTGGAATTTGACTGGCGACTCGGAATAACCAAATGGTAAACATAGAAATTCAAATTGTCCATGCGGTATGACAAACGAAAAATACTTGGTAGAATCCGGATCTTTTATTTGATGAAATCCATTCTTTAAATCCAATAAAGTAAAAACAGATTTATTACTTAATCGTGATAAACTGTCTTCGATCAGAGGGAAAGGATATTTTTGTTTTTGAACACGTGCATTTAACGGCCGTAAATCTACGCAAAGCCTGAGTTGGCCATTCTTTTTCTTCACTGGAATGATACATACACAATAAGGCGAGCTACTTAGTTTAATGATATTACGTTCGAGTAAATTATCTGTAATTTCACGAATTTGAATTCTTTCTTGCAGAGCAAATCTTTGTGAGGCGTACGTGGAATCGTCTCTTAAGAATACTTTGACTGAATAATCATCGTCTATTACTGGTAAGTTTAAATTTTCTACTTCTAAAATCAACTCTTTTAATTGTTGTTTAACTGATTACTCAAAATCAATTTCAATATCTTTAATTATTGACTCAATATTCCGTTCTACATAGCATACTTCGGTTGGTAGCACCAATTGTAACGATTCATTTTGATTATTACTTTAAAACGGTCTCGCTTTCCCGCGCGGAGAGCGGTCAGTCGGTTGCCAGGAGGGGAAGCGAGGACGTTGGAGACAGAAAGTTGTTATTAAATTATTAGGCGATAATTATAACAAATAACGATGCTTTATTTAATTAATAGTGGCGCGATGGAATGCACCGAATCTTCGCGTCAATTGTTCGTAACCGCGGACGGGCGAGACGGCGATCGGCACGCGGATAGCGCGTGGATACCAAATGAGATATCGCTCGGGCGGTCGGCGCGATACTGATCGCGGCGCGCAGTTCGGTGGCGCGGGGCGCGCGCGGCGGCGGCGGTGTCGCACGTATTCGTCGCGGGCCTTTAAATCGGCGTTGATTTAAACGTGCACGCGTGTCGCGGGTGTTGTCACGAGGGTGGATATTTCGCGAGGTCGTCGGATCGTTTAGATCGGAGAACGGGTGTGCCCGTTCCCTGCCGAGAGGGTTCGGCTGACGGGGGGTGCGCCCCTCGTCTGTCTGCGTGCCGAGTGAACTCGGCCAGCCGGGGAGGGCCCCAGCTGTGTGCGGAAAAGAAAGTGGCGGTGTCGAGTATACTCGGCCGACCAGGGTGTACCCTGGTGCTCGGAGAGGTGGTATCGGGGAGAACCCCGGCGGAGAAATCTCGGAAATGGCGGAGTCGGGGCGAGCGAACTCGACGCGCTGGGGAGACCCCAGCAACTCTCGGCTTGCCGTGCGAGATACGGAGACGGCTTTCGAAGGGGCCAAGCGAACTTGGCGCGTTGGGCCCCAACAAAACTCAGGCTTGCTACCGGTTTCGGATGCTCGCTTCCTTGAGACGGGCTCTCGGAAAACGAGCTAGGAACAGGAGTCAATGAGGAGTGCTTTTCTGTGGAGAACGATGCCTTTTTACCCGAGATCGACCTCGGTATTTTCGGTCGGATCGGTCGGATTGGTCGATCTCAGGGTTAGCATCTCTCTCCCCAGGAGCGGAAAAAAGGATCGGGTATAATTGGTTTTTTTGGGGATTAGACGGAATAGGAGCGGGGGATGATTAAAAGTATGGAAGGAATTCGGTGGGAAGGTAACGGCGCGGTGCGGGGGTGGTTACGCGCTTGTGGACGCGGTCGTGGCGCGGTGCGGGACGCTCGCTCAGTTGCGTGGCGCGGCGTCGGTGCGGCACGGGACGCGTTCACGCTCAGTGGTACGATGCGTGGCGCGGTGCGGAGTGCGTTAGCGGAGAAAACTTTCGGAGAAAACTTTCCTCCTGTGAGGTACGAACTTCTCTCAGCTCCCTTTCCGGCAAATCGTTCCGGATTAAGGAGCGTGTAAATGCTTCCAACATTTTTTGCAGTGCATAAGTAAAATATAATATCTATTTATATATATCTAAATATATATCTATATCTATTTATTTATTTATTTTAATATCCTTAGATTAGTTTATTAACATTAATAATACATTGCTTTTAATTAAAATATTTTATTGTAATATTACTTTTTGCGTGTTCTTCTTAATATTTAATATGTTTAAAATAATTTTATGATGTTCATATATTTAAATTATAAAATTATACTATACTTGCACACTTCCGTATTACTATTCGGAGCCGCTTCGGAACATTATTATTGATTGATATGTTGATTGATATCTATATGTTATGTTGTCGTTATGGCTTATTGAGGAGTCGATACCCCTCAATATCTTAACGATAAGATTCGACTTTAGTGATACTTTTAACGACATTTATCGTTACGTTAAATTACAGAATACTATTTTTCGTTATAGTGTCGTTAAATCTGCGTAATGACATCCCTAGCTAGTGAAACTGTCGTTAAGAAGTTAGAGAATAGGCCTACTGGCCATCACAAATTCGATTTTGAAGCGTTTTGATTGGTTCACCATTTTTTTCTAATTTAAGAGGGGGTAGCTTTAGCGCAAGCGTATGAAATGATGAAACATACATAACCACAAAAAACTTACAAAATGATGGAACATACATAACCTCAGAAAAACTTACGAAACATATATCGGTTTCGAATATTATTCAGGCAGATTCTATTTTTCGTAGATTGTGACACAATTCTTTTTCTTTAATAAAATCTTAACAAAATTATTTTTAGATATGTAACGTACGTGTTTATAGAAATCGAATGCTGAAAAGTAGTGATTAATTTGAATATTAAAAGCAATATTATTTAGTGTTTTTAATATTCAAAATAAATAATTTCTATTAGTATTATATTGGACAGTAATTACATTTTTGTAACAGTAATATAACATGTAACCAATGATAAGTGCAAAATGATATTTTTACTATTAGAGCAAGGAAGAAATTAAATAAACAAAGTTTAACAGTTTATTTTATTTTATTGCATTGCCATTGACTTACTGTTATAATATTTATAATTTAATAATTCTTTTTTTATTAGATATCCTTAATCTATAAACTGCAAATCTATTTTTAGTATTTAAATTATGACATTGTAAGATATGATTATTATTTAAAATATTAAGAAATTTTGTTAATTAAAAACTTCTCATTATTGCAAATAGATTTTTGGTATTTTCTGAATATATATTCCAGTTTTTTAAATATTTCGAATGTTTGCTTAGTTGATTAGAACAAAAAATAAAGTGTTATCTTTTTCATTTTCTTACTATCGTACTAATTTTGCATGTCGTGAAAAATTTCGATTTGTAGAACCTACACTTATAATAACACCCGACTCACCCCCCTCAATTATTAATAATGTTAAAGCGTCCCCGACCGATCAACCGTCGGGGCGCCGACACGGCGATCCTTCCGCGATCCCACCGTCGTGAAAATCCCGTCGAACAACGGACGCGGCAAACCAGAGATCACGCGGCTTCACGTGCGCGCTGCGTGGACAAACACGCATACGGTAAGGTCACCGCCGCCGGCTCCGCTACCGACCGCGCCACCGAACATCCTCGCGGAATTCCCGAGCGCGTTCGGCGAATTATCGCGAGGATTCCGACAAAGGCATCCCCCGGAACTACCCCGACCCGAGTTCGGCCGACCCGTACCCGACGACTCCCGACCGACGGCCGGCTCGGGTATATTAGGCAACTCCGAGAGATAATCGAGACCGGCGAGACAGTAGCCAGTCCAGTACTGCTCTCGATACTCCTAGTCATCTCCAAAAGCGATTTAGGGTGCTACCTATCGTGCCAGGAGCTTCTGGCCGATCGCTCCTTTAATCCAAACGCACAAGTTATTCACAGATTGAGGAGCTTCTCAATCTGGGCTCCAAAAAGTAAGCCCTTGTGCACATCTTCCTCTGATGATCGAGAAGCAGGGAGCTTTCTGCATTCGAAGCATCATAGCACGAATCCCTGACAAACCATACACATAAACAGCTGATCCGTCACAACAAGCCGGCCGAAAACCCCGCGCACCGTCGCGTCCGCGCCTACCGTGAACGCGCCGAAATTCGGAGAACCGACCGTGAATCGAGCGATTATACAATACATAGAAACTGCGCGTCTTTTCACCGTACCAACGACGAAATTCCGAAAGATACTTGTAAATATTGTACATACAAAAAAATTGCAGCCAGTCGGAACTGTAAATATAGACTTAGATATATATAAACTAAAGAGGCTCACGATATTTTATTTCTCTTACCGAATCCTGACCATATCCGACCGACGCTATCCTGCGAAACCCGATCTACGCGAAACTAGAGACGTTTTACACTTATTAATATATTGTTCACAAAGTTGTGTATTTTTTTTAATATTCGTTACTATGTAACTAGCGATATTATATAAAATACTATTTTCTATATAATTTAATTCTTCTACTTTTTGAAATACGTATGACATATCAATATTTGACTGAGTAGGAAATTCCGAAAATAGTTTACAATCCTGAGAATGATTACAATGTTTTGAAGATTTATGTACGGCAATTATATCCAAAAAATCTTGTAGAATATATAATTTCTCCTTATCTTTTTCTTTTTATAATAAAAATAAAAGAAAAAACGTCGAAAATAAGCTCAACGATCGCCAGATGATCGATGTCACGTGACATTATATCATTATCATTAGAAAAAAAATGGTGGACCAATCAAAACATTTCAAAATCGAGATATTGAAAAGATATGTGATGACCAGACTCTTACTAAAAGGTTTCTACTATATAGAATAGGATCTCTAAAGTAAAAGTCTGATTGTGTATGTGTGTGTATATGTATGCGCGCGCGCACACACACAATTAGATATAGCATTCTACATATTACAAATTGAAAACCGAAATAACATAATAAATGATAGCATACCAGTATTCAGATAGGACTTTCCCATTTATCTCTGATATAAATCATATTTTGAGGGTCTCAAAAAATTCTTAGATATTGAACAAATATGGATAAATAATTTCAAGTTTACAATAGTTACTTGATATTATTTATATCAGGGCGGAATTAGTTGAACATTTCGGCCCGATTTCGGAGAGTTCTTTCATTACCATTCGATGTTTAGCGGTCGAGCCAGCATTCAGGTAGTACTTTTCCATTTACTTTTCCTATAAGCTTTCAAATCATATTTTGAAGATCTTAAAATATTTTTAGTTATTATAATGAATATTATATGCAAAATACAATAATCATATATCTATAATGATTTTTGTTTTCGTTTACATTATCAATATCTGCTTACTCTTTTCAATTCATTCGCTATATATCAACAATTGTCAGTGATAACCAAGATATGTTCGAGACGTTCGCAGACATTCGAGAACGAAAGAGTACGATAATATTTTTATTAATATTTTTATTCTCTTCTCACGGCGCGTGAAGCACGAAAGAGTACGATAATATTTCTTTCTCTTCTTACGCGTCGAGCGCGAGAGAGTATTTCTATTCTCTTCTATTATCTGAAAGTACTCGAAACGTTGGGTGCACATGTATGTGCCTCATGTTTTGTGTGTGTGCCTCACGTTGCTCATTTTCAGTCCTTTCAGTCCTTTCATATAATGCAGCAGCGATTTTTTTAATAACAAGAGTTGAGTAATACATACGTAATACATACGTAATAAGTAATAAATACGTGTTACATTTAAGGTTGGTAAGATATACTGCTCGTTACGATCATTATTACTTTGCTCGTTTTGGTTATCTCCCATTCATGCGCTGCCAAATATCAATAAAATGGATATTACTGTTCTAGAGGCATTAATCGTATACTGACCGGTATTAATGACGTGTTAGAGGTGTTAATTGTGTGCTGGCCAGTATTAATAACGAGTCAGAGGCGTTAATCGTGGGCTGGCCGGTATTAATAATGTACCAGAGGCATCCATCATGTGTAGATTAGGATTAATAAAATTTCAGAGACATCAATCGTGCACTGGATGATATCACCGTGCCAGAGGCGTTAATTATGTGCTGGCCGAAATTAATAACGTACCAGAGGCGTTAATTGTGTGCTGGCCGGTATTAATAACATGTCAGAGGCATTAATCATGTGCTGGCTGATATTTAATAACGTGCCATAGGTGTTAATCATGCGCTGGCAACTTTTATAAAATGCCAAAAACATAAATAACTTAATAATTTCTTGCCAAAAAAGTAAGGCCAATGAAAGCCAATGAAATATATACATATATGAATTATATATAGATATTTACTACACTACTAGACACTATTTGTAGGATATTTTAAAAATATTGAATTAATATTGCATACAAATCTAGTTATGTATGTATATGCATAAATACGCATATAATAAATGTATTTGTATATACACATTTATATATAACAGTAGTCATGGATACTATCAGAGAGAAACCTGAAAGCGGCCATCCCGGTCTTTTCGTGGAACCGTCGAAACCCCCGTACACTAACGCCCCATTTTAGCATGTAGGATCTAACGCCAAGTTCCATTTTAGCATGTAGGATGAAACTTGGATCCACCACTACACTCCAAAGACAAAAGAACAGTCAAAATAGTGGACTGCAAAGGGTCCTGCAAGTAAACCTGCTCCGAAAAAGGTGAAGACGGTTCCATCAGCTGGGAAGATGACGACTGTTTTTTGGGATAGTCACGGAATTGTGTGTCGACTATCTTGAAATCGACTATCTTGAAAAAGATAAAATAATAACGGAAGCGTATCATTACGCAGCATTACTTGATAAGCTGAAGGCAGAAATTGCAAAAAAACGGCCGCATTTGAAGAAAAAGAAAGTGCTGTTCTATCAAGACAACGCACCTGCTCACACTTCGGCGGTCGCCATGGCCAAAATTCACGAACTGCACTTCGAATTGATTGACCATCCACCGTATTCACCAGATCTGGCCCCTAACGACTTTTTCCTGTTTCCTAAGCTTAAAGTTTCGCTTGGAGGACAGAGATTTTCATCGAACGAGGAGATCATCGCATACGTAAACGCCTATTTTGCGGAGCAAGACGCCAACTACTATTGGAGGGGTTAAAGAGGTTAAAGTATCGTATGGGAAAAGTGTATCGACTTAAAAGGAGATTATGTTGAAAAATAAAACTATATTTGACCGAAAAAATATTTGTTTCTATGTTAGGCTCAAAACTATTCAGATTACCCTCGTATATACACTAATATTAATGTTCATCAATATTTTATAACGAGAAAATTGCGACAAAACGTAAAAT